AATATATAAATATAATAATAATATTATATTTTTAACCTTCATTTCATTTTATTTTGTATAAATGTATAATATATTATACATTATATATTATATATTACATAAAATTATTTAGCTCTTATAACATATCATAAAATTCATGATTTGCAGTAAGCAACTTGAAAATATGTTTTTAAAAGCGGATAACAGCAAAAACATCAGCAAACCGAAGCATTACATAAATACGGAATTTGATTCGTTAAGCGAGGAAATAGTATATCGTGAATATATAGTATGTTTAAAGAAACATCAGCTTGCTATAGAGTAAGCAGCATTTCTCAATTAATTTTTAACTACTTTTGTATAAAATAGATATAATATAATATTGTTGCTTATATGTAAAAATATAATTTGTAAACATTATTTCTATTCCATAGATTTGTAAATGTATTAGAATCTTCATATCAAGGGTTTTCATTACTTATATTATTATTAATTATCGGAGCTTTAAGTTTAATAGGAATTCGGGTAAGCATTAAATAGTAATCTAAGATGTTCCTGTAATAGGAAGAATATATGTATGTACATATATAATTAATTTACAAAAATTATAAAATATATAATTTCCATTTTAAGATTAATATTTTTTTATGTCAACTAAGAAACAACTAAATTACATTTCCAATATGATACTTTCTATGTAATCTGTATTATATTATGTATAGTTTGTATATCTGTAATATATTATGTATGATTATATATTACTTTCTATGTATTCTATATTACATTAGTTACAAGAATCTCTAAAATTTATATTTATAACTTTTGGAATATTAATAACTTTGATGATTGATAATAACATTTTGTATAACTATATAATATTTTTAATTTGTTATAGATCATTTATGTATTAGATCAATTGCAGGAAGCGATAAAATTAATATTTATACTTATAGGAATATTGCTAACTTTGACGATTATATCTTATTCTGGTCAGAGAATAATGGACGAAAGTCAGGATATATTTTATCGAGCGTAAAATAGTTATTTTATATCTAACTATATATATTGGCACATGAAAAATTATTTTAGTGCAAAAGCATATTTTGTTATGTGTAAAAAAATTTCTTAAACGTAAAACATCAGAAAAATTTCATTTAAGTTATCTTTAATGTTAAAATGCAACTAAATCAGAAATTATTAATAATTTAATTACTTAAAATTTTGCAAATTATTTTCTAATTATCTCGTGCATGCCACAATATGATAAACTTCATTTTTTTATTTACTAAACATATAACTATCCTTAAAGAGATAATAAAAATTAAGAATTATATACTTACAGATATGCGGCCGAATGGTACAATTTCTCACCTAGATTAAAATCTTTAATGATAATAACTCTTTACAGAAGTAATGTGCCATGCGGATTAAAGGCAGGTAATATGATTCCATTATCCATCGCTACTTACGCGTCGGTAAGTAAAACACAAAATTGCATAAAGTCAATTATTTTTCGTAATAATAATGTTATATTTGCCTATAAAATGATTTACATATTTGATCGCTTTAAGGTAATAAAAATGGCCATGTCCTATTTTACAGCGTTTTTATCTCTCCAAGAGTGATTATTTAAATTTTCTTAGTTATTTATTAGTATACTTAATATCAATGTTAGTCAATTATAATTAAAAGATTTTTTATGTTATTTATCTCACATTAAAATTATATGTTTAATTATTCAATTCTTTTCTTATAATTTTAAATTTAAAAACTTATTTACATTATATACATTATGTGTTTTATAGAAAGTTAGCGATCATGTACTAATAAATATTTGTATTATTGATGTATAATGTTGATATGATTCATATTGTATCGAGTAGTTAAATAAAATATTAATTTTATCTGCTAAAAATATAAATATTCTTAAAACATCTTGAAACATATCATTATAATTTTAATTTAATTGCTATCGAATCATACATATACATATATCTCTTTATTAATTCTAAAAATTTTTACAATTCATCTTTTTAGTTCCTTACAAATTGTCATTTCTTGAAATTAATACGGACTTTTACTTTATCATATTATTTGATCTAATTTTTGATATGTCCAGAATCAACTTCGTTCGAAAACTTTAAAACTAACTATTACTAGTATATGTTTCCATTGTTACTATTGTGTTACTTTTAATTTTTTATTTTTGATCATGCAACATCGTTACACAATATGTCACTCTGCAAAAATGTCAGATGAAGTATTTTGAACTTGGAAAAATTAATAATTTTCTCTCGATAGCTACACTCGTACTGCGACGAAATAATAGGATGACATAGACGATTCTTGACATCCTATGATTTTATATTTTATACCGCAATTTGTAAGCACTAAAGAATCGATAGTATGTATGGCATCATTATATTGCGAATTCTCTACGAAGAATTCAGACGAATAAAAATGCTATCAAATTTTCTGAGAGAATATAACATCAATCGGGTATTTCTATCGATCATAGGTTGTTGGCCGTTTCAAAATAAGCTCGTGAGAAATTCGTTACGGACTTTATGTTTCCTGCTTGAAATAAGTTACTGTCCGTTCGAGGTATTGCATCGACACATTTCAGTTTCACAAATTATAATTAAGAAATGTTTATAAATTTTCATTTTACTATTTCTTATCGTTTAACATATATACATTATAATTTTGTTGTTGCACGCTAAAGTAATACTTGAGTGCTTGATAATATATAATTATTAACTAATAGAACAGAAATATGTAATATATTTTATATATTGGGGGGGGGATATTAATCCAATATTACATACAGATATTATTATTGTACGATCATTGGAACGATGGGCAAATGATTTTTGAAGGTTGTTATCAAATTGTCGTCTCAGCTTCATTCATTGTAAGACAGGTGAATGAATTTTGGAATTACGACAAAGTACGTTTTTGGAATTACCATGTGTTATTTTATTTTTTTAAATTATGTTTACCTCGGAAAAAAATATTTCAGTTATTACATGTTGAATCATTTTCAAATTTTGTCATCAGTTTCGGCAATTATATAAAACAATTGATGAGCATTGGGATATATTTACCAATGATATAGAAATTCGAATTTTGAAAGATTATTCTATGCTATCGCGAAAATTTACAAAGTATTATTCGAGTAAGTATATTTTGCTATATATTACCTTTTTTACAGTATTATTTGTAGTGATGGAATTATTCTATATTTGGAATGGAAATGAAATGTAATTAATTAAAATCTATATTCTAATAAATCAAGACTGAGAAAATGCAGATACTTATTATTTAAAAATAAAGAAAGAATAATATAAAAATAACTTTTTTATTATTAAGATTAAAATAACTTTTTTATTATAAAGATGAATTTATCACAAACAATTCGAAAATGTAATGATGATTTTAGAATACTTTATAAGTTTTAATATTATTAAGAAAATAACATTAATTCTTTTTCTGATAATATTGCAGTGTTAATGTATATCATGATGTCGATATTTATAACGATACCATTAACACCCATGATCTTAGATATTATAGTTCCTCTAAATGAGTCACGTCCGCGATTTTTTGCGCTTGTAGTCGAATTTAGAGTGGATAAAGATGAGTATTTTCTACCAATTTTTTTCTACACTACTACAATAATCGTAGTGGGTACAAATGTTACAATGGCCATTGATGCAATGCACATCGCGTGTACCGCTCATGCTTGTAGTCTTTTTGCTGCTATCAGGTAAATATATCGCAAATGCGATAATAATTTCAACTTTTGTGTATAATAATCACATAATAATATTATTATTATTGTTATAGATTAAGATAGTTATATATTTTTTCTATAAGTTTAAGATAGTATACAGAGTGTCTCGAGTTTAAATATCAAAACTTCGGGAGTAGCAAATATCATCAAAACAATGTCTGGCTGCAATACAAGCTGTCAGTGCTAGATGCTTACATTGTTGCAAAAAGCCAATATTTACATTAAGGAAGTGACAACGTAAATAAATAACTGTGAATGAATAAATCAGTTTAAAAATAAAAACTACACTACTTTGTTTTTTTTTGCGATTTTGTCCAAAACGAAACAAAAATAAGCAAATCTCTAAAGAATTTTTTTTCTTTTTTTATCGATATCCTTTTTATCGATATTTTTATCCACACTCTTGACATTTAAATTTGGAACACCCTGTATATCTTTTGGTTCTTATAAGGTGATGTAAAATTCACATTTCGCAGTAAGCAAGTTGAAAACATAATTCCGAAAACAAATAACAGCGAAATAAGTGAACATAAATGTTGCATAGATCTTGACTCGTCAAATGAGAAAAAGATATATCAGGAATACATAATATGTTTAAAAAAACATCAGCTTGCGATAGAGTAAGCAGCTTTTTTCAAATAATTTTTTAATTGTTTCTCATGTTTCTTCATGTTTATATAATTATAATCTAATAATTAATATAATATTATTGTTTCTATCTTTCTTTTCTTAGAAATTAACTTTGTTCATATTATTTCTGTTTCATAGATTTGTTGATGTATTAGATTCATCATATCAAGGGATTTCATTAGTTATGTTAATATTGGTTATTGGAACTATAAGTTTGATTGGAATTCGTGTAAGTATTTTCAATGGCTATGCGTATAAGACATCTCATTAATAGATAATATAAATGTAAAATCGTACAATATAATAAAAATTGTAATAAAACCAGATTTTTATATTTCCTTTATTTATTGAAATCAAAATAGTTTACCTATCCTTGCTTTCTTTTTGATCTTCTGATTTTTTAATACTTGATGTAACAGTAAAAATCTGGTAAATCTAATATAAAGAATATCTGATTTGTGTAAGGAGAATGTATGTATTGACTATATAATTCCTCTGATGTTAATAAAAGAGATTAATTATTTTAAATTATTTTAATATATAATTTAATGTAATTATATATATATATATATATATATATAATATATATA